TCATAACAAGCCTCCTGCTAGCCAGGCCACTAAGGGCTCGTTTGGTAACGTGCCAAATAGTAAAAATTTCTGCTCTTTTGTTCCCAGAAATAGTTTGGGAACAGAAATGCGTTTGGTAAACTTTTTGTTCCCTGGTACATTTTTGCAAAAATTTGTGCCCAGAAACAGTTTTGAAAGAGAAACAAGAAGTAAAAAAAGTTGCTTCTTGTTTCTCGGCACAATTTTGAGAATCAGTTTTTTTTCTTTTCTTCTTTTTGTGTTGCTGTTCTTGGGTTGTGGCCGGTCGCCGGCGACAGGCCTGCAGCCCAGGCAGCGAGCGTCACGGCCCTCGCCGGCCGCCAGCCCGAGGAGCGAGGTCCCCCTTGCCGGCGAGGGCGAGGCTGGACCCTCGCCGCTGGGCGAGGCGGCTCGCCGTCGGTCATGGCGAGGTCGGCCTCGCCCAGATCGGGCGAGGCCGAGCCTCGCCGTGGGTCGCGACAGCGAGGCTCGGCCCGATTTGGGCGAGGCCGAACTCGCCATGACCGACGTCGAGTCGCCTCTCCCAGGCGGCGAGGGTCCAGCCCTCGCCCTCGCCGGCAAGGGGGACCCTCGCCTCCGCCGGCGGCCGGCGAGGGCCGTGACGCCCTCGCCGGCCTCAGGGTGTGGCCGGTCACCGGCGACCGGCAATGGCCAAGGAAGAGAATGGGTAGAAAGAAAAAAATAATTAAACAATTTAAAATATTATTAATAAAAAGAAAATTTGTGTAGTTACCAAACGCATTTATGTTCTTTTCTATCCCGGGCATAGAAATTTTGGACAGTTACCAAACGCCTTCAAATGCTTAGAAATTGTTTCCGGGCACAGAATAAAAAAGAACCATTTCTGAGTAGAAATAGTTCCCCGGCATAGAAACATTGTCATGCGCACCCTAAAAGAGCGGCTAGCCCTTTTTTTTTTCCTCCGCGGGCCATGAAATATCCTAATAATTATTGATGTAGATTGTGAGACTTCCAAGATGCTACTTGTAGCCACCTAATTTTTAACTTAAGGTTTGCCCTAAAGTCGATTGAAAATATTATTTCGTTAAAAGTTCAATCAGAGAATAAAATTGGGCCATGCTCATCAATAGCTTTCTTACTATTACCCGATTTGTCCGAATTAGATCACACGTTCTTAATGAATCATATATTTTAATTGCGGCCATTCCATCATGGGTGTCCACAATTTTGTGATTTGACCGAATTGATTAATGCCACATTAAAAATCAAGTTATAAGCGTCTTCAACACTATAGAAATCACGCGACAGTGGCACCTGAGGGCATGAAGAGCCTCAAGACCTCGTATTACACAACCGGCATATGGATCAGGAGCTTCCTCATCAACTTCCTCCTCCAAGCAGTCTTGCTCGATTATCACAAAGAAGAATGCCCGGGTTGGATCACAAACAACTTGCACTAGTCTCGCTTGGACTATTACCACACTTTGATGCCCATCTCTTGGAAGGAACTACCCATGGTGACAATCGCCGACGCTACCTTTCAAGACAACAAAGACTAGAAAATCTCTTATCGGGCCATATCGTGCCGTTTTCGAGTGATTGTTAAGTTAGTGGAATCCAAATGCATAATCATCATTCAAATATGTAATGATCCTAGTGAAATCTACTTCGACGGCTTGGGATTACCTTGATTATAATCAAATCTCTGATTAAATCTAAACTCAAACGAGATGATGCAAAAGTGAAGACAAGTATCTGTTTGTTGCTACTTAAAATTAGATTCTTACTCCAAGCCACCACAAACAAAAAATCTATATTAATTCTTTAGAATTTGTTGAGTATATCTTGAATTCTTTATGGGTTTGAGCCAACGTTAGGGCTTGAGAACAATATAAATATTATTTTTCTTAATTTTTTAGGTTAAGAAACCGAGACAAAAATAGTTTTAGGTTTTTGAGGTATCTTTTGTAATCCTTGAAATTTTATTGTGAATTTTGTTTCTCCTCTCCCCGTGATTTTTCCCACAAGAATTTTTTTTTATGTAAATATGTGTATTCTTTTATTCTTCTCATTTTTAATTTCGCTAAAATTTCCGCGTAACAGAATTCATGAAAACCGGTAACGTGGACATCTTAGTAATTGTTTTTAGTACTCGAATAAAGTTCCGAACTAGATTTATGCATTCCCATCTATGAAAGAAATCAAAAGTAATTTAAGTGAAGAATATATATAAGTTCTTCAAAACACCAAATAAGATGGGCCGATACTACAAAATATGTGAAAAACTCGAACCGTTCGGTTCGAATTAAAACGAACCGGGTTGGACCGAACGGAGCTGACTTACTTTGAGGGTTTCGCTGTCCATCACGACACTCCGCCTCTTAAGTCCAAACTCCAACCCAGTGGCGACCATGAGGACACTTCCTGTTCGACGATTTGCTTCGCTTTCGTATCTCTCTTGTTCTGCTCCTCGCGTGCAACTAGGGGTGAGCACGGTTCCAGGGAGAACTGTGAATTGGAGAATCGAATCGGTGGGTTCGGTTCGGTTCCGGTTCCCAGTTCCATTTTTTTAGGAACTGTTAGTTCCAGGTCGGTTCCCGGTTCCTAGAGGAACCGGAACCGGGAAGGGAAGAGAACCGAGAACCCTAAAATCCCTAATTTTCTTGCTACTTTTCTATTCTCACTTCTCAGCTCTCTTTGAGATCAGGTCCTGGACAAGAGGGTTTTGAGTCCACCCCTGCGTGTTTGTCCGATTGGGTATCGTGTCATCTGAAGATATCATTTTCTTTGAGTCAAATTCTCATCGACGGCATCTGCGACGCTGAGCCTTCCGCTGCCGCAATGCTGAGCCCCTTCTGCCGCCGCGACACTGAGCCCTCTGTTTGCTATCACCGCCCTGGCCACGGCTCAGACCCAAGGAGTTTGGTGAAATCCCTCTATTTCTCAGGTTTCTCTCTCTCTCTCTCTAGCTGTTGAAGTTTGCACGCTCAGCCCTTCGTTTTCTTGGTCAAGCGATTGTTGTTGTGTTGGTTGATTTTCATGGTCTGCATCCGTTCATCTTGTTTGTTGGATCTAACAAATGTCCACTTGAATTGATTCTTCCATCAATTTTGATGCATGTGAAGTCTGTAGGTATGTAGAAAAGCTGCACATCTGAAGACATCATTTTGTAACTTTGAGCCAAAATTCATTTCGGTGGCAAAGAACATGACAATCTGTCATATGAATTAAACCACGATTTGCACAGAAGAAATCAGTGCTGAGACATGTAACATGGTATATCTTTAAGTAATAAACTTAGCAAGAATCATCAGCTAAGCAAACATAGCTAACCTCCAACGAAATACGGTGTTGCATCTCAGAGAATTCCAGTTAGCTTGTCCATCGTATCAGTAGCTGCTGCACTTCAAAATCTTCGAGTTACAAACCATATCCCAACTAAAGTTCAGGAGAAAGAAAACAGATTCAAGGCAATTAGAAATTTGTAATCATCGTAGTTCCTGCGAGGAATAGAGTAACGAGAGTCCAAATGAGACCACCAATCTTAAAATCTCATTCTGAAGTTTATTAACCCAGATATGTGGGAACTAATTATCTTAAGCTTGTTGGAAAGTTAAAGAGTCTCTACTACTGAAGCTCTTAACTTTGCTAGGCTAAGAGCCGGTTAATCCTACTGATCCGCTTTTGGAAAGCGCTATAGGTCTTCTCAATTCAGTATGAGGACTCTTTTAAGTGTCAAAAACAATGACTCTAGCTCTAACTTTCCTGCTTGGTGGAGAGATATTTACCATCTTTGTCACTTGTAGATGGAAGACAAACACAAGCATTAGCGATTAAATGTTTCAAGAGCTAAATGCTACCTTGGAGGAGCTTGGAGGGGAACATGTTTCGTGCTTTTTGTTGAGAAAAATGTGGCATCTTACCTTGAAATTTAAAGTCATATGTGTTGCATCCCAATAATTACTATTTATCGTTATATCCCCTTTCTATTAAGAAAAATGTGGCTTTTCAATAATCTATGTTGCACTGACATGCGACACGACACGCGACTCAACACGATACGCCGACACGTCATTTCTCAAAAAGTAGAGAATTCCGATACGTTGTGACACGTTATATATTAAATGTATATTTTTATATATACATGATAAATTATTATTTTTACGATTATTTTAATCAAACAAATTTGATTCAAATCTATAAACAAATAAATAATAACAAAATCAAATTAATTTGATAAATTATTCATGACATATTTTATTAAGCCATGTGATGTAGTAAAGTTCCTTTGGCCATGTATATTTTTCTCTTTGACTATTTTCGTTTTTTTCCCCCACAAAAGATTACAAATATATTCATCCGGTTTCCTTATGAAAACGAGTGATGCCAGCGGCACCGTTACCACCGTTACTTTTGGAATAGTAACGGTGCCGTTATCTTAGCATTACTCCTCTCTCTCGGTCAGACGAAACCCTACCCATCTTCTCTTCCGTGGCCGCTCTTCTCTTCCATAGCCGAAATCGCAAATTCCCTCCTCAACCCCAAACCCTAGATTTCCAGATCCTCCCTCTCTTCTCTTCCATGGCCGCTCCTCTCCCTCACTCCGCCGTCTGCGTCGCTTCCGCCAGGAAGTGCAGGTTCGTCTCGCTCGATTCTCTTCGGTCGCTTTTCTTTCTTCTTTCTCCGCCAGGAGCTCCTCGTCGGCGCTCCGGACTCGCGTGTCGCCTACGCGTTGACCGCGTGTACGCCGCGTGTTGGCGTGTCGGACGCGTGTCGTGTTGTCGGACACCGACACGGTGGCCTCCGGAGAGCGTGTCAGTGCAACATAGCCACTAGTAACTAGGGATATGCAAAAGAATCGGGAACCGGTGGTTCCAATAATTGGAACCGGTGGGTACCGGTTCGGTTCCCGGTTCCGGGTGTGGAACCGCCCATCCGGACCGAACCGGTAATATACTATATTTATTTAATTTTTAATTTAAAAAAGAAAAATCCAAAACCCTCAACTAAACCAGTCAACCTAACTCTCTCACAATCTCACTCTTTGGTCGACGCCTCTCCGATACTGTATAACTCGATACTCTCTCCTCTCCGACTCTCACCGTCTCCGTCGCCGTCTCCTCACGAAGTGGGATCGAGCGATGAAGATGAAGATCAACCGCGCCTGCGACCTCAGCTCCATCTCCGTCCTCCCTCCTCACGCCAGGTTCATCGCCCGCGCGCGCTCTCTCTCTCTCTCTCTCTCTCTCCCTCTCTCTCTCTCTCCCTCTCTTCCTTTCGTGCAATCGATCGTCCACTTGCTTCGTTTTGAGAAATCCTTGGTTCCGTAGCTTTAAGGAACTACTGTTCTATGTTGATCCGAGTCCATGAGCATTCCCGGTCTGGTGATGAGCGGATGACTCTGTGAATCTTCCAGTTTCGTGGAATTTTGCTGCTTCTGAACTGTCTATTTTTGGCGGAAAAATGCACAAAATGATTGCGATTAGATTACGAATGACTTCATCAGCTGAAATTTGGAGCTTGTAACTGTGCGTTGCTAGTTCTATTGAGGATTGAATCTAAAGATTGATTTTAACTTTTCCGTGAAGTATTGACAGAGATGAGGAGGCTTTGAAATTTTAGGAAAATCTGCAATTAGATGCGGCATCGTCGTGCGGTTCTCACTCTCGGTTTCCTTTTTCTCTTAAGTGACTTCGAAGAGATTGTGCCTGTGAGATGCTGTGAAAACAGGAATTCGGCTGCCTGTGTTTGCGTCCTCATTTATCTATCAGTTCTAGAGAAATCTCACAACTCACTTTAATAGAGATTGTACTAATACACCGAGTGACGAGCAGTATACATTTGATTACCTATGACAGTTTCCTGTCCTCCATGTTACAACATTTCATGGTAGTGTCTGTGTAGTCATCTGCTCTTCTTATGGAAGGAATGAAGACCAAAATTGTTGAAGTCCACTGTCTGGCTTCTTCACATGAAAAAGGAGTGGAAAGTTACACTCCTAAATGTAGCTATTGCAATGTCTTTGGCTCTAGCTTGTTAGGAAGTTCTTGGCACAAATGTCTTTATGCGGTCATATTTAGAAATTTTGAACAACAGGTGAAGGTTTCCACTTTCCAGTCTTTGGCTTTGGCTTTTTAGGAAGTTCCTAACTTGAAGAGCAATGTCTGAACAGCAGGTTGAACTTGTGTATATGAAGGTTGGTGGGACCGGTTCCATAGACTCACCCGGGAACCGGACCGGACCGGCGGTCCGGTTCCCGGGTGGGTCCATGGAATCAACGGACGGTTCCCGGTTTCAATTTTTCGGAACCGGTCCTTAGCGGGCGGTTCCCAGTTTTAGGGTGGGAACCGCCGACCCGGACCATGCTCATCCCTACCAGTAACTAGTCTTTTGTATTTTTTTGGTGAATGACAAGCCGTTTTGTTTAATTAAAAATGAAACAAAAAAGAACCTGTAATACCCTGGAATCGACCCTGGAACCTACCCGATGGTAGGTTCCAGGTTCCTCACCCGAGGGTAGGTTCCAGGTGGAACTCCTATGTGCAACCGCAATGTTAGTTTAGCTCAACACGTTTCCTTTTTGATGTTAAACTCGAACAAACGAACGAACAATTTGTCGTAATTGGTGTTTGTTCATGTGCAGGTCGAGAATCTGCGTAAAAAATTTGCCCAGCTACGTGGAGGAGGATCGCCTGAGCGACCTCTTCTCTCAGAAGGGCGAAATTAAAGACGTTAAGCTCATGCGCACCATGTATTTGTTGTTTTTGCCCTCTTCTTCTTCTTTTGTTCTTGAAATCGGTGTTGGAAGAGTGAGGTTTTTGTGTCGGGTTTGAATGTGTGCAGCGATGGTAAGAGCAGGCAGTTCGCCTTTATTGGGTTTCGGACCGAGGAGGAAGCGCAGGAAGCTATTAGGTACTTCAACAAGTCCTACATTGATACTTTCCGGATTATTTGTGAGGTTCGTTTTGTAATTGATGTTGTATGATCGTTTTGTAATTCTTATTTCAAAGTCTGGTCCTTGTGTTTTTCCTGTTTTCATTAACTTGTCAAAGCATGGCAAATGGCTTGTGATGTAATGCAGCTAACATGAATTGAATTTTTGACACACTCTCATCTCTGTTACCTCTTAGGCATCATTTTGGACTGGTTCTATAGTAATGTGATCAGCACACATTTTTAATTAATTGCTGCTGTTTACTAGTAATCCTCAACAGAGGCTGTACATGTAGACACTATTGGTAGTATGAAGAGTATGATCAACGATTTAGTCAATCAAATACCTCTTTGTATGCACATCTATAGAGTGTCTTAGTTCAGTAAATATAGCTTGAACATGTGGATTCAATCCTTTTGCTTATTGGTAGATTGCACGAAAAGTTGGAGATCCTGATATTCCTCGACCATGGAGTCGGCACTCATTGAAGAATAAAGATGAAGTAGCTAAGGGTGGGAAAAAAGTTTCTGGTGGTGAATCCACCATTGTGATTCCTAATGGAGAGAAGAAGAATCTTAAAAAGACAAGCGAGAGCGATGACCCTCAGCTTCAGGAATTCCTTCAGGTCATGCAACCAAGGACCAAGTCAAAGTTGTGGGCAAATGACACAGTAGTAGTTTCAACAGATTACCCAAATGAGAGTGCCAACGGGAATCCTACTCAAGCAAAGAAAAACATCAAAGAAAAATTAATAGAAGCAAAAGTTAATGACAATGGGGCTATCGAATCTTCAAACAGTGATGCTTCTGAGGAGTCAGATAGTGATGCTTCTGCTGTTTCTCATGATGATGTAATTTCTGACATGGACTACTTCAAGAGCAGGATTAAGAAAGAATTGTCTGAGTCAGAATCAGAAGATAGTGAAGGTGAAGGTGATGTTAATCGAAAAGAAGCTAAAGTAGATCTGTCAAATAAAAGGTCCAGGGCAAAAAATGAAACAACTGTGCATGCTGATGAAGAAAACGATATACAAGATGAGGCTGAAAGGCAAGGTCCTGAAGTTTCAGATGGCGAGGCACTTGACCCCACAAATCCCTCATCAAGTGCAACGGATGATAAGGAAGGGATAATGGAAACTGGCCGTCTTTTTGTTCGCAACCTGCCTTACACGACAAGGTAATTTTTTACCTTGACTACTTGACTTTGCAAGTTGTTCTATTATTGTGAGATATTTCCAAAGAAATTATCTATATAAACAATTTCCAGAGAAATATTGACTTTTCTTTTTTAGATAACCACATCAATATAGCCTGCGTAATTTTATGGTGTTTGTGTGAAGTGAGGAAGAGCTGGAAGAGTTATTTAGCAAATTCGGCAAGCTTGCAGAAGTCCACGTTGTTGTCGATAAGATAACAAGACGGTCAAAGGGCATTGCTTATATCCAGTTCGCTCTCCCAGAGTCCGCATTGAGGTATTGCTTTTTTTAGAGAAATTGTGTGTTTCTTCTATCCATTAATTTTTATTGAATTGATAATGATTGAATTTTCTATTCATTCTTTAAACATTTTGAGATAGTAGGTTTATTCTTGGGCTCCAAGATCTTGGTTACTTAAACTAATTCTTTAACTGTCATATGATGTTAATATATGGGCTCTAACTATGAAGTTGTTGGCTCACTATTCATTGCTTCGTTAGTTCTTAGTCTCTTAGAACGGACAAGCAATCTTGAAGAACCTCTTGTTCAATTATTATTATGGGCACACGTGTCATTATATATTTTCTAGGCTCTAAGTTATTATAGATTTCCTTACTGTATGAGCAGCAGCCATTGGAATAGTTTTTTTCCAGTTTATCAGTGGTTGTCGTCGTAACGTCAGCATCGGTGTATGTTTTGCCACTTGATTCGTGCCTTCAAACCTTGATAATACTGTTAAAGTTGTAAGATGGATATATGTAAACTTTATTATTTCAGGGCATGAAATTGACTAAATCAGATGTATTATTTTGTTTTGATTCTCATGCAGAGCTTTAGAAGAATTGGACTATTCAGATTTCCAGGGAAGACTACTGCATATTTTGCCAGCCTTGCAGAAAACCGCTTCTAAAAAGCAGCAGTAAGTAGTAGTATTCTATAATTTTATTCGTGTTACGCTCCTTCAATATGCTGTCTTAAAGGACCTTATAATGTTACTTTTATGTAGTGATTTGACTTCAAATCAAGCTCCAAAAACTTTCAAACAGCAGCGGAAAGAAGATAGAAAGGCTTCTGAAGCAAGTGGAGATACAAAAGCATGGAATACATTATTCATGCGCCCCGACACGGTCTGTTAAGATTTTAGTTTTGATTCAAGACTGTTCCTAATTTGTCATAGTCTAGAACTTTGCTCAATATAATTATTTTATGACGGCAAGAAATCTGAATCTCCAGCAGTTGATTAAATAAAAGTGTATTCGCGAGTAATTGTATAAGACTGATTAGTTAATGGAGAATCGTTTGCAGAATTATCTTTCTTGTCATGAATGCTTTGGGCGAGTTTATTGGCATGGTCATGTGATAATTGTGTCCCTTTTTTAGTCAGCACACTTATCTTTTTTAGGGTGTATGTGTTTGCTCTCATTTATTACTTATTCAATACAATAGGTTGTTGAAAACATTGCGAGGAAGTATGGTATAAGCAAAAGTGATTTCCTTGATCGTGAAGGCGATGATCATGCCGTACGTATTGCTTTAGGAGAGACACAAGTGATTGCTGAAACAAAGAAGGCATTGACAGATGCTGGTGTCAATGTAGCATCTTTGGAGGAGCTTGCCTCTTTGAGAGCAGAGGGTTTGAAAAGGAGTAATCATGTCTTGCTAGTGAAAAACTTGCCTTATGGATGTTCTGAGGCTGAGCTGACTAAAATGTTCGAGAAATTTGGTAGTCTGGAGAAAATAATTTTGCCTCCAACAAAGACAATGGCACTGGTATGTGGTGATCTCTCTATGTTTTTCCCTTCTAAATAGGACATCGAACTGCAATACACTACTTTTCCTTAATGTTAGTGTGTTATTTACGGAACACGTCATTGTTGATATCTAATTTGAGGTGCAAGTCTATATTTGGACACATATCTGATGGAATTGAAGCGAGGATTGACATGTCTGCTAGGTTAGATGGATTTGTTTGGCAATGTAGGCCAAAATACCTTCAGCGGACAGCTAATGAGAGTTCAGAACCTTGGTATGAACAGCATGTTAACTGATTGTTCCACATGCCAATGCTTGACATTACTTTGGCTCAGAATTTTGGTGGAAGAGAATAAGGTGTATAATATCAACCTGCCAGTTACCCTTTGCATGGGAGCTTCTTCTCTACTGGGTGAGGGGAGAGACGGGAGAGGAAGAGGGTCCAAAGTGGTGGAGAAGATAGGTCCAGAGGCATTGCGATATTGTTGGGTTCTCTTCTAGTGAAGATTAATCACTGACACTTGATCTGGATCCATTCTAGCTGAGACTAGCCTGGATGCTTAATTTTCTGAAACGACACAGACACAGTATTATTTCACCGTGGTTATGAAACACTGATGTTCTAAATTTTTTTTCCCTCATTCCCATGATTACTAACAGAAAGTGGAAACTTATAGAGTAGACTGGAATTATTATAGCTTGTGAATAAAATGACATGGTTGTGTTGGGACTCCTTAACTTCCCTTTCTCATTCAATTTTCTTCAACAATTAATCAAGTTTGCCTCGTATTGTAGTTTTCTATCTAGTTTGATAGTTCAATCTATTAACTATTCAACCTTATTCTGGTTACATTGATCAGGTTGTTTTCCTCGAACCTTCTGAGGCTCGTGCTGCTTTTAGAGGTCTAGCATACCGGCGATACAAGTATGTGATGTTCAATCTTCATCTGCTTCGTGACAGCCCCTTACTGTCTTTCTCTTGCATAAGTGCATTGGATATGCTGCTCATAATTGTGTGAACTCTTCACAATCTGCCCTTCTGCCGCGATAACAGAAAATTCTTTAAATCGGGAATTCTCATTTTTCGAGTTTAGCTAGGTTCATGATACATTGTTACTTGGGAGAAAATATGGTTCTTAATCTAATTGGAAATCTGTAATCCATGATTATATTAAAAAAGATCGAACATATGATTATTTAGGGCACCTGAGATGGAATGGAGCAAGAGCAACTAGTCCTTCTACAATGCCAATAATATATATTTTTTAAAAAGTACAAATTATGATAGGTTTTGAGATGCCTTGGCAATGAAACAGTTGATACATTTTGATAGATGAATGATTTTTCACATATGGCCTAATCACTACATTGCCTGAACTTTTGATTTCTTTCGTTTCTCATATTATCATCATTTAGTTGTTGTAAGAGTTTCTAATAAAAGTTAACCATGATGTAGGGATGCACCACTGTATTTAGAATGGGCTCCTGGAAATGTTCTTAATCCCACAGCTAAAAGCGATGGAAACAATAGAACTGTTGTTGGTGAACAGGATGCTAAAAGGGTGTTACTGGAACAACATGTAGAGGGACTACTGGATGTGGATGTTGATTCTGACAGAATTGAGGTCTAAATTTTATTTCAGATTTGGCATTTCATGCCTTTCTACTTTCATATACAATTGTTGTTTTTTTCCTTGTTTGAAATGTATACATGTGTTCTGCTATTGCTTTGACCCGTGTTAATGTATTTTCCGTTCACTCTTTTTTTATGCATGTAATTGTGGGCCCATGTGTTCGAGTAAGCAATTCTGCCTGAAATTACATCTACTTTTTGGTGCACTTCTCAAAACCAGAAGCATGAAAAGAGAAAGTTGAACAACACTATATACATATTCTCTTGTTAATTAAGTGTTCATAGAGAAGTATAAGCATATTTACTTGTATGAAGTTCTTTAAAAGGAAACTTCTATATTATAACAGAATTCGATACAGTGAAGGTCATCTTTGTTCAAATGCACTTGTTGATAATGAATTTGTTAGAGGTTGAGGCATTTCGTCATTCTGAACTGTCAAATGGTTAATGCTATAAATACAATATTTAAGTTAGTGTGCTGGATGTGTTCAAGAATTTCACATGCCACTTTTTAAATATTTGAATTCATGTTACTCAGCCTGCTTCGTTTAATCTATTTTATTTGATTGTGCTGGCATCAACTGTCATACGAGTAAGATGAACTATAAGGTCAAAAGATGCGAAGCATGATAGTGAGCTAGATTGGCCTTAGTATGAGATAGGGTTATATTTCCCATGCGAGTATTCCTATTTTTCTCTTATACTATATGTAATGTCTTTTTCAATCTATTTGGATCTTAAAAAAGGTTCCGCAATATCATATATTGGATTGTGCCTCACACTAAATTAAAGCTCTTTTTTACTTGCATTAGCTGCAATTTATACCTTGTCCTTGTGAGTCTGATGTGATGAACATTCGAAAATTATTGGAACTGTTCTTAGCTTTCTAACTTGAACAACGTAATTGCTTGTATAAAATGGTTGATGCAGCAATTTTGCGTATAACTTTTTCAGATTCCCTTTGCTTTTACTAAAAGCTTCTCATCTTTTGACATGTAGTATTATGCATGCCATACTTGCTACTAAACAAGTTAGGGATAATTCCTGCCTTTCCTTTTTTGGGTATACTTATGTTTTTGCCTTTGCTTTTACAGTCACGGTCTTTGTTTGTCAAGAATCTTAGCTCCAAAACATCTGATGAAACTTTGAAAAGCCACTTTAATAAACAAATGAAGGAGGGAAGAATTCTCAGCATCACGGTAATCTTTTAGACAACAAGAATTAATGTATATGATTTATTATCCACTACTGTTTATCAAGATATTGTTATTTTCTGTACAGATAAAGAAGCACATGAAAAACGGGAAGCATGTTTCAATGGGTTTTGGGTTTATAGAATTTGATTCAATGGAGACAGCAACAACTATTTGTCGGGATTTACCAGTAAGCCTCTTCTTTTTTCTCCTTGATAAAATTCTATTTTGTAATTTTCTCATATTTTATTAAGTTCTCTCTAGGGAACCATCTTAGATGGGCATGCCCTTATCTTGCAACTTTGCCAAGTAAAGAAAGATGAACGAGTACTAAAAAAAGCTGACGAAGAAAGAAGTTCGACCAAGTTGCTTGCGAAAAACGTTGCTTTTGAGGCAACGGAGAAAGATTTAAGAAAGCTTTTCAGCCCATTCGGAAAGGTAATTTTCTTTTTTACTGTTGTATGTATCCATTGCATGGATTGCCTCCATTGTGTTTGTCGTGGATTAACTGAAGGTGACACAGTTGTTGGTCAAAACGACATACTCTTTAATAGTTGTGGATGTAAATTTTGGATCTTCTCCTCAATAAGCAAATTTGATTTTCGCGTTGTTTAACAAAATTCAAGTTTCTTGGGGTCTTCTAAGATTTTGGACTATTGCTCCTTTTAGAGTCAATGAATCCTCTGTCGGCTTTATTCATACCAATTGTTTGAGGGTGCAGTTTTTTCTAGCATTTTGGTTGACCAATGATCCGATTCCGCAGATTAAGAGTTTGAGGCTGCCTATGAAATTTGGAAATCACAGAGGATTTGCATTTGTGGAATACGTCACGAAACAGGAGGCCCAGAATGCTTTGCAAGCACTAGCGAACACCCATTTGTATGGAAGGCATCTGGTAAGTCATTACTACTACTCTGGAATATGTTAAATTCTTACATGCAGTTAAGTTGGAGCTATAATTTTGGTTTTCAGGTGCTAGAGAGAGCGAAGGAAGGCGAGAGTTTGGAAGAATTACGTGCTCGAACCGCTGCGCAGTTTAATGATGAAAATGGGTATAGTATGGGCAAGTTATCCAAGAAGAGGAAGCATATGGCCATCTTGGATGAGGATAAATGAAGATCAAAAGGATTGCCAATCGATGCTGGTTGAGTTTGAAGTCCAAAAACTGATTGAAGAATTGCTTCAAGCGATGTACAAAGGGGCAGAAGAGGTGTTTATTATGTGTAATGATATGCCCAGTTTTGCTGATTTTGGGTTCTAGTTTTAGTTGGTCAGAGGCCTTTCGCTTTTCAATTACCACATTTTTTTGCTAGATGAAGTCACGAACTAATTTTATGCTATTAACTTCTATTTAAGTCAATTATAAAAGTTCATTAGGTTATTTTCCAAGTTGCAACTTTTATACTGACTTATAAACTTTATAGGCGAATTGGGTCAGTATATTGAAAATACCATGTTATTTACCAACATTTTTCCAATCAAAATTATCAACTACTGTTAGGTTACTAACTCTTATTTAAATCACTTAACAACGTTCAAGCGATTTCGAATTACTAACTTTGCTATATGTTTAAACTTTATTAAAGGGTAATACAGAATTGGTAAATTGCTATAAAAAAACTTTCTAGTTCATAATCGATTGAATGAATGTTGCTAAGTGACTCGGTTAGGAATTAACATCTTAAATTAATTGGCAATTTCGACGGAAAAAATTAAATTCATAATTAAAAAAAAAACCGGTAATGTCATATAAAAGTTGGTAACTTCAACGAAAATGGATAAATGATTAGAACAGATCGTAATTCTGAAATGACCTAATCAACCGTGGAACATGGCTCTAAAGGAATTTGGCAACCACTATTGCAATCAAGTCAAAGAAGGATCAAAATATTTTAACGCTCGAGTTTGATTTGATCAAGTGAGAATTCGTACTCGATTTGACTGTAATGTTTATTAGCCGAAGGACCAATGTTTATTGTTCCCCGGACGCTCACCTGAACCCAACATCTACAACAAAGTATCAAGTTTGAGTTGCAGTTATTCAGCACCACTTGAGACCTTAGAGACAAGTGTCACGGGCCGACGGTTCCTTGGCCGCGGAATAGCCCGTGCGGCGCCTGGCGCGCCAAATTGCCAACAGAGCCCCACCAGCCTGTCAATGATCCATGATTCCCTCCAAACAAGGTACTAGTGCTAGTGAGCAAAAGTTTGTTAGAGTTCTGATAATGACTTCCCCATGGACATGGCCTCAAGCCATACAAAAAAAAAAAAAAAAATCATCTCCCAAATGTCCCTATCAAAAGTGCTCTTATACTATTGGCCGCTAAACGAGAAACCTGAAAAGATTGAAAGGAATTGAGTGAGAAGCCACAACTCAGTATGTAGTGCATCTTTTCTTAGCAGATCAAGCATCTACTATGCATATTTACAAATCTAAAACACAACTCATTTAACCCAAATCTAGAATATAGTATATGTACAAGATCCAAATGAGTTACATTACTTCAACATTATTGTGTACATATAATAAACATTGCTTAAATCCAAAATATCATATCACACATCAATGATTTAGTCCATTGATTAATTTTTATCAAATCACACGCCAATGGTCTATTCCATCGACTAATCTTAAATCACATGTTAATGGTCCATTCAATTTATCAATGTATAATGCCCCGTGATAATGCTACCAAGATTCTCCCCTTGGCTTGCTCTTCACTCATATTGCTAGTGTCCAACCCATAAGAATATCCTAAAACTAGTATGCATATTCACAAACCCCTTGATGGGTTCACAACGATATTGAGCATAATCCTTATTCTCCAATAATCCCACAATCAAAACCATAATTCATCTCATAAAATGGTTTCGCAAACTGAATCATATCACCTTTCACAACCCACTTTATCAAATTGAAAGCATTTCACAATTCAATACATATAACCTTTTATAATTATACTCAAAATCAAGAGCTTTTTGTAATTCTTTCATAAAAAAAGGTTTCGCAAATCCAAAATATATAATCTTTCTCAACTTTGTTCATCAAATAGAATATATATGTATATAAATAAACACTTCGGAATTCATTTTATAAACTAGTAACTTTTTGAAATGCCTTTCATAAAACATTTCTCAAACCATTCACAAATAACCGAAAAGGAGTAAATCTTCGATCCAACATTTTATACAACAAATATGCCATTTCATATAAACTATACTATATATAATCAATATTACTTTTGAAATATGAGTTTGCAAACACGAAGAAGAGATCGTACCACTTACCTTGGAATGCCGAAAACCAACATACGCTCAAGCCGACGCACTCGTATTCCTTGAAGAGCTAATTTTTTTTTTTTTGGTCAAAAAATTCGTCTCTAATTTAGCGACGAAAAATTTTGACTTTTGCCAAAATTTTGACTTTTGCCACAAACATTGTTCCAGAACGAATTTACGACAAATTTTTATTAATTCTTTAGCGACGAACTCTGCGACGAATATTGTTTAGAGACGAAATTTTATTTTTGCAACGAACTTTTATAATTTGCAACTGTATGATAAAACCATTTCTTTTATTATTTGATTTTAAATCTAATTAACAGCAAAATTAATTTCTAGAATTTATATTTAACATTGATTAAGCACTTAATAACATGAAAATATTATAATAATATGAAAATTAAATACATTCATCAATATTTTCCACAAGAATGGCTCTTTGCGCCTAGTTTATCCAACATCAGAAATCTGATCTACTCTGATTCAACGCTATGAACTTGCCCAAAATTGGAAAGTACATAAAGAAAGAGAAGTCAAAGGAGCATGCTAGGATGAGATCGAAAAGTCGAATGGACAATCCTCACAGAAACCTCGGTGGCATCGGGATCGTGTCACTCATTCCATGTCACCACCCGTCCCCTCAAAGGCCTCATACTCGTAATCCTCATCAAGATTCTCCATTGTTTTTCCAAAGACGAAGGATTTCGTTCCCATCGTCGTGAAAGGCACGAGGCCGAAAGCTCGAGCGGTTTTGATCTCCCTCGCAACCTTCCTCTGCTCCTTGGCGCTGATGCGAGTCTACAAAAAGGGACAAATGGCAAATAAATAAGAAAATCAATTTGCAGCTCAATTAATTTCCATAACCTAACTGATATTCGAACTTTACCGAGCTCCTCTTGATTATTATTCCGGCAGCGTTTATGAAAATTTGCAAGGAACCTCACATTCTGCAGAAAATTGAACATTGAGAAAGTAAACCTCTAAGCAAAAAGATACCAACAGAACATGACAAACCATCCAAGTACGCAAAAGTTTCATGCAAGCTATGTTATTCATATATTATTAGGCGAACTACAGCACCCACATGGCACTTGTAAAGCCTCTAACCCAGGCAACTCTTCCAATTTCAGTCCTCCGACCCTTTTCCTGAAATAGACAAAACAGAGAGAAACGCAAAAAGAAGCGCCCACATGCATTAGATTCTAAAGTGTCTTAACCTGAGCTTTAGAAAAGCAAGGTGAACCACTACCCTAACCCTTCAGCTGAAAAAATTCACTACCTAACCAAAAGAAATGATTCACCATAACCTCTCTTGAGGAGCAACATGATCAGACCATTCTGCGATACAGATCTATCTGGTAACTGAATGTTGTGGTCATAACAAGAAATGGATGACAAATGAAACACTGTCAAATTACTGAAAATTGAGGACCTTGCAATCATTCATTCAGTCTGCAAATAATGAGTACCAGCCAAAGAAAATTTAATATCATCTTATCTATACAGCTGAGAAAGATGAAGAGACCAAAACCTCCCCAAAGTCCAGAATGCAGAGAAAAAAGTGGAAGAGGAATGAGAAAGAACAGACACATACTCAAAGCCAGTAATCTTCCTCATAATCATCACTTCATGATGCACATATCAACTTAAGGAACTGGTATACATCAGCCATTGGCATCTAATCAATTATAGTACCTGCTTCTCTTGTAAGAAGATAGTTCTGAATCAAATAACTCGAGCTCAGTTGAGTCGGCCATCCTATCTTGTTGATTTGTCCATATACGTATGGTCCCATCGGAACATGCTGTCACAATGTCTCCATCTTCCAAAAATTTGGCATCCCATACACAACCGGGATGCTCAATGCTCTGAACACAAACTCCATCTGAAAGATCAAAAACTCCCAAAATCCATAAGATAATTTTCAATTATAATTTATTTCTGATGCAAGGACGAAGACTTTCAGTTTCTATTAATCATCTTTCAAGTCGCCTCGCTGAACCATTTCTATAATTGCTACCAGTCAGGCACATTTGACCAGCTCCTATATATGTTAGAAAGGAGGAGGCAAAATAAGCGGCTGACTGCATTGAGAGAGCATCAGCATTAAATCCAAGGAGGAACTGTTGCATTTGAAGAAATGCCTAAGAGTTTTACGAGGGAAGTCATTTTCATTTTAACTCAACCTATAAAGAGTTTGGAGCCACATTCAAAAACAGCTGCACACTATTACACTCCAGACGCATGTTCAATGGAAGCAATGTGCAACCTAGTTGATACCAAACAGAAGCTTCCAACCGCAATAGACAAGAAAACTTCCAGCCAGAAGCATAAAGGACCCAAGCCATGATGCATGACAAGCTCTGTAACTCTACCGTAACATAATTATTCTAACATAACTAAAAGAACCAGCAACAAACAGCTGGAGTAAGAAAAAGGAAAAAAGAGAAATAAGTGATTGGTTAAACGCTCATGGCAACCCCCGTGGAAGTGAAAATCAAAAGCAACTACCTTTCCATATTTTGGCAAAACGATCTTCACTGCCACCGACTATAAGGCCCGAAGCATGTGAATCAACAGAATAGACTATAGAAGTATGATCAACCATCTCCATTAGACATTCACCGCTCACTGCCCATAACCTGATAGACCTGTTGCCAGGGGACGAAAAACTATTCACTAACAGCAAGCAGCGGATTATACAACTTTGTAAACATAATTAGACAAAAATGAATGAGCAAATTAGACAAGAAGGTAAATATAATAAGCTCAGCAGCATGCATACTTATATGCCATATTCAAAGACATGACAGGCCAAATACAGGCTCCCTTTAGCCCATGATCAGAAGCTCAGACCTGATCTGCCAGGCTGTGCCTATGAATGATAAGATAACTTCTCCATGGTAAATATTGGACAAGGCATCATCAAAATGCCTGAGCATTTCACTTGGCGTTCTTTGGGTATGTAAGTTCCCAATGCAAGATTGGTCCGACCAGCCACAAAGAGTCAGAACAAACATACATCTTGGAGCACTTAAACAAACTTCATTTGTTTGCTGCAATTTTTCTCACAAGTCATTTGATCTGAGCGATCCAGGTTTCGAATGGGTCCTCCTTTCCACAGCTACTTCTCCTCTTATTTCCGTGTCACTTTAGGTTTCCAAGTCAACTTATACAGGAGACCACTTCTCTTCGTTCTCAATTGTTGCAAAGTTGGCATAAATGCAAGCTTGTTTCTAGTCTCAGCTAACCTTTCCATCACCCAGTAGGGTATTTTAGAAATCCTCATTCGAGTTAAGAAGGCATCTTAAGGATTAAAGCACTATTGGACTTGAAAGTTTGAAGGTGACTTTTTTCTATTGTTTGATTTTATCTTACATAAACTTCAAAACTTGCAAAGAAGCAAGAGCATATACTAATTACTTTCATGGACTTTAGACATAGTGAGTACTAACAGATGAACTTTCTATACCACAAACTTAATTCAATGAATCACCAGAAAAAAAAAATGAACCTACCCATCATGTGATGCAGATAGAATGCCCAGATGAGGCATCACTGCCAAGCCTCGAACTGTATCTACACCATCCACCAGTGAATAAGTACATGGAACAAAACAATAGCCATCAACCTAGTACATTTCTTTCAAAAGCAGAATGCACGAAGGAAAAAAAAACAAAAAGAGCATGATGGAAGGAACTGCTATCATTTCAAACACATTGGTACAGTAGCAGCAGGGGCCCAAAATGTTCAGCTTCACACAATTGAATAATAGCTTATACAAATTCACAAGGACTCCATGAAATTCAGGCTTCATAAACACAATAGAGAACCGATAGTTTCCAGTCAATAAAGAGAGGAAACAAGAATTGCTTCAATTTCTAAACAGTTAAGATGATAAGAAAAAACATAACAGGGGGCTTCTCTCAAACTGCTTATTATCAAATTCAACAGCTACATAGCAGATTTTGGAGCATTATAAACTACTAAACTGCTATTGACTATTTAAGATAGTACACTCAGCTAGCTCTAGCAGCTGTTCTTTATTTTTTGTTAAATTAGTAAGTTGGAGCAGATAGAAACAGAACGAAAGAGAACGGTTAACCTGTATGCCCAACAAAAGTCTGAGTGCATGTCTTTCCTCTCCATAGTTTTAAGGTTGTGTCACTTGAACCTGGATAAAGTAGAGAAACAGCTTATCAATAAGATTCTTCTTGATCTACTAAGAATGTCAACACATCTATAGATGAGTCCGACGGCAAAACTGCTGCTAATTAGGAGTAAAAAAAATCCATCATGTTTTGTGCAAAGAAAAGTTGAGGACGTGAGTCTATGACCACATATCACAGAATCATTTGTAAACAAAATCGAACAGACCAAGAAGCACCTAAATCAAAGGAAACTTAAAATTTAAACGGAAAAACTGAAAAACAACAAGACCTCCCCTAAATGCGGAAGTCCAGTCTCAAGTGGAGTGCACTTCTGGAACTTTAACAAAATTTGCTGATGATTCATTAGGAGAATGACCCGGTAAACAATGTTCAGGAACATCTCCATTTGCAAACTCTTAAAATCTAAATCATGCGGACGAACATGTTCTTGACTGAAATTTGGCCAACTTCATCGAAGAAAGTAATCGTTACTTCTAACAATGAAAGCTTGAATATTACACCTACACCAAATTTCCACACAGCCGACCAATGAAAGCTTGGACCACTCCAACAGCCCCGAACGGCACCAGGACAGTGAAATTCCAAAAGTACCTGACGCCGCATTCACCGAGAGGGGTCTAGCTAAATGGGGACGATGGAACCGCCGCGGCAAGCCATTACTCAAGGATCGCATCACAGCCCGAGAAAGCGTCATCTCTCCTTCAAACACCAGAATCTTCCGTGCAAGGGGCGTAAGGGGCGTTAAAGTCGGCTTTTGGGACTCTTGTGAGACTGAATCGCAGCAAGATCCTACAAATTTGAGCAAATCACTAACCAAGAAACACGATTTCTTTACATTGCTCGCGCTGGTAGAGTAATCGGACATCATGAGGATCGCGAAGTAACTCCCAATGCCAGAAAAACAAAAAGAATTACCGACAGCTTAAGGTAATAGATGGCGACAGTCCCGTTCAATACTCTAAGAAACTTCCAAAAAAGAAAGAAAATAAATTTAGGCTGCGTTCGTTTGCGGAAAAATATTTTTTTGGAAAATATTTTTCGCGTTTTCCGGTGTTCGGGGGCGGAAAATATTTTCCGTGGGAAAACATTTTCCTTTCCCACCCCCAAATCCTTCATTGCTTTGAGGAAAATGATTTCCTCTTTTCACAAAGAGGAAATCATTTTCCCCCAAATTGAAGGCAAAATTGCCCATGGGAGGGAAAATATTTTCCGTGGGAGAGGAAGTTGATCGCCGGTCACCACCGTTGGCCGCCGGTCGCTGGCCGCCCGCCGCCGCCGCCGCCGGTCGCCGGTGAAAAATATTTTCCGAAACTTTTTCATATTGGTCGCCGAACACCGGAAAATTATGTTCCGGGAAAACATTTTCCAGGAAAATGACTTCCGGGAAAATATTTTTCAAAAAAAGAATATTTTCCGCCAAACGAACGGATTATTAAGCTCAAGAAACAGCACAGGGGAATGAAACAGGCCACCGTCGACCACCTCTCCGGGTTCAACGTCGCCAAACGCTCTACTACCAGCCGCCGCCGCCGGCGAAGAAGATGAACCGGAGGCGCTTTGGGCACATTCCCCCGCCACAACAGCAGCTTCGCATTCCGCATCCGTCATCCCCCAAACTCCTTAACAGAATCGTTGCGGATTTTTTACTAGCCCTCACGACCAATAACCGCGGGACGGCCGCCCCCTGCTCGCGGCTCCGCAAAGGACCGAACTTCGCACTCGGCGGCGGTTTCAGCCCCCACCTCGCCCAGGAACAAGAAGCCAAGGAAATCCTCAAGAACGCTCCAAAGAAAACCACACACACGATCCCATAAATCCGTCGTCGTCGTGTTCAAATTAGCGATCAATTTTCTTTCATCGCCAATTTTTCATGACTAAAATACTTGTTCTGTATAGCGTA